ACACACACACACACACACACCTACACACACACACAAACAAACTACCATCTTGTTCCACGAGTGTTTTTACAGCTTCTATTCATTTGGACCTTGAATTCAGGTCAATTCACAAAAGTCATGACTGAAGTAAAAGCCAATTTTTAAAAGTAGTTTATTTAATTTGTAATTTCTTTTTAAGGGAAATAAGTAAGGGAGGGAAAATAGATATACCCCCCCTAAAGAATTTAGAGATTTTATTTTTTTAAGCCATATAAGTTATTAATCGTCCCAAATATAAACTGAAACAATCTTTTGTGTTGCTTCTCCAAAACATTACAAGTATGCTCCCCACGGAACACAAACGTTACCATTAAGATGACCAAACGTGTTGTAAAACACCTAAACATAATGTTTGTATATATCCATAAATAAACTTGCCGGTTTATTTCCCTCGTTTTTTTTTATTTTATTTTATTTTATTTATTTATTTTTATTCTTTACTAATCTAGGAGACGATTCTCACAGCTGCCGTGTGGCGGTGGAGCCGATGTGCCGAGGCCAGCGTCTTCTGCAGGAGTCCGTAGAGGTGCACCTGAAGGGGGCGCTGCAGGGCTGGGATGCTTCGTGCCTGACTCGAACTCCCACCGAGTCGTGGCTGCTTCAGCTCCTCAGCAGCAGCTACCAGGAAGTGGCTGCCTTCCTGCCTCTCTTCACACAGCTGTCCGCTCTTTCACTTCAAATGGTGAGAGACCAGAGAGAAGCTGACATTTATACCACATGGGAGTTTTTATGGAGATGTGACACGGATGAGATTCTGCAAATACCAAGCAAAGACACAAATTCTCATGTGAAGCTTTCTTTTCCCCTAAAACACAAAGATGATGCACACCTCATCAGTAAGCAGTGTATGGCTGCAGTTATTGATTATTTTAGTAATCAATTAATCTGCTGACAAACCGGGGGATTGCACATTCTACAGATTTTTAATTTAACTTCTTAATCCTCTCTGACAAAATATTAAAAATACATTAAAAGATGCAAATAAGCAATTTTTAAAATATAAGAAAATAAATATTTAATTACATAAATTGCAATACAGTGACATTCCTATAGTGAATCTGAATTGAGTGAAGCTAAAATTAGTTTTGGCTAAAATATATTTACTGGACAAAGGTGTTTTTTATCTTTAATGCAAAAATGTAAATATTTTTTGCACTTTTGGTTTAATTACTGCGCTGAAATTGTATTTCTTTTCACCAACTGGTCCTTTTTTTTTTTGAGTCTGTATGCTCCAGTTAATTATTAATTCATTACTACAATAACTGGTGATTGTTTTAATAATCAGTTAATCACGATTAATACAATTAATTGTTTCAGCCCTGTAAGGTGGAAGTCGCTACAGTGACCTGAAACACAACTACAAAATGCAGCAATGAAAGTTAAACAAGCTTTTTAAAATCCAGTCTAAACATTTCATTTTTTTTATTTTTTTTTTTTTTTTTTTGTGCCTTACGTTACAGTTTTTTTTTTTTTTTTTCTCCTCCAAGTTAGTTCTAGCGCTAGCTCAAAGCAAGGACACACCTTCTCCTTTTAATGTAGCTCTTAAAAAAAAATAAAAAATCTGATCTGTCTTAAAAGTCGAGCTGCGTGGAGTTAAACAAACGGAATGGGAGCGTTTAACGCAGCACGACGTCTGATGTTTAAGCAAAATGGCTTTTCGCTTGGTGACTCTGATCTTTTCATTCCCTGCTTTAATTGTCTCCACAGCTCGCTGAAGTCGGCCACAGTGGGCTGTCGTGTCCCGCCGTCTTCTCCCCGCTGTCCCAGTCCACAGCTCTGCTCACCGTTTTCCAGCCGATCGTCCTTCAGCACGACCAGCTGCTGAAGACGAACATCTCCGCCCCCTCCGCCGCGGAAACCTCCGCTGACCTGCCGGAAGTGGTGAACAGCGTTCTGGGCGTGGTCTATGACATAATGAACCAGGATGGCGACAGGACTGACGGTAGGAATTAAAGCAGACTGAACCTGAAACAATTAATCGGATTAATCGATTATTCAAATAATCAACTAATTTAGTAATTGATTAATCATTAACTGGAGCATACAGACTCACAAAAGGCCATTTACTTAAAGAACAACACACTCAGAGCAGTGACTAAACTAAAACTGTAAAAAAAAAAAAAAAATCTACATTTTGCATCTAAGATTAAAATAAGAAAACAACCTTTGTCTATAAATATGTTCTACCAGAACTCCTCAAGTCGCAGTGTTAGATTCACCCAGTTCAAATTCTATAAATAAATCTCCTATTCAGCACCTTTTGCTATCCAATTATTATTTGGTTAATTTAAAAAATAATCAAAATATCAGAATAGTAGAGAAATATTCTTTATTGTCTCACGGTGGGCAAAGTTTACGTAATCGGGACTGTGCATAATAAAATAAAAAATATAGGAAAATAAGAATAAGAGACTGTACATTGAGGACAAATTTACAACATAAAACAAATACTCAGACAACACTCAGTCCCAAGTCAGACTCCACTGACAGTTTCTGTAACATTCGTAGCACATCTGCAGGGTTCATGTGTGCGTCAAGCCTCAGTTGCGAATCATTGTGCGTGTGCACGTTTTCCTTCCACTCAACTTTCTATGAATACTCTAACCTTTTAAAAATATTAAAACTTTGAGACACTGAATTATCCGTTTTCATAATCTGTAAGTCGTAATGGTCAAAATGACAAGAAATAAAGGCTTAAAATATTTCACTCTGTGTAATGAATCTATATGAGTAACAAATGGTTTTCTGGATGACACCAGTTAGCACTTTTTTTCTGAGCTTGGAAAATTGTCAGATATTCTTTTTAAAAAGTCCTAGTTTGATTTGTAGTTATGAAAGTGTTTATAGTTTTTGCTCAATTCAGCTAACTGCAGATGTTGGTACGTGTTGTGTGTTGTCTGAGAATCCATCCCTGAATAGTGTAGCAACATGTTTTTAATGCTGAGCTCAGTTTAAACGCTGTACGTAAATTTGCTTTCGTTTCTTGTAAAGATGAGGTCCGGGACCCTCCTGCACCTGAGTGGGCTGCACAGGAGCTGAGCCACAGGTCACCAATGACACACACCTTAGAGGCCTGGTTCCCACAGTCGGATCAGTCAGGAGTCGGCGCCAATTTAATGGAGTCAATAAGGTACAAAAGGAATTCTTATTCATTTGTTTGTTTATTTTGTTTTGTTCTGTTTTTTGAAGGCTGCTGCTGTCGTTGTAGGCTTTATTTTTTTTCAGTTGCTTATCTGGCAGTGGCGATGGATCATCTGCCTAAAATGAAAACTCAATCATATCACAGAGTAAATCTACTCACACTTTGCACCAGAAATTGTGCAAAGTGACAAGACTTTGCATAATTTCTGACTTTCCCTCTGCATATTTATTTAATAAGGAGACATAAAAACAGACTTTAACAGCTTTAATTTTTTTGTAATGATAAAAAAATAAAAAAATTTCTGTCATTAACAAAATATTTTTACACAGCATTTTATAAATAACCCTGCTTTACATGTTTCCTTTAACAAGAAATCTTGACCGATTTGATAACACATGATCTGAATCTGCCTCGAAGGCATTACAATCACTAGCTGCCTCCCCAATCACCATATTAATGTGCAATTTGACTCTTCAAAAATAAATTGAGCTGATTTTTTTATTTTTTTTTACTGTATCGAAATTAGTGTATTTTGCAAAACTGCAGTACACAGGTCACATGACCAGCAGCCAGATGTTGCCACTGGTCCAAACCACGAAGACGAAGACAACAGGAAGTAGTTGGAGGATGATGTTTTTTAATGACCTATCACACAAACAAACTTAGTTACGTGTGATTTTAATTGTGTTTCTTATTTAACGGAAACACTGCTATTGCAAAATTGTGTTTTGTTTTGTTTTTTTCGACATTAGTGAAATGCCGACAAAGTTTTGTGCACATTTGTAACGGAAACGCAGCTGATGTTGCACTTCATCTAGATCTGCTTCCAGGTTTGGAACATGATGACATTGACATGAAGAAAGAAGAAACAAACGTTTTCTGAAATGATTGTTTGCAGATTGCTCCATGTGGTACCTGAAGAGGGATCAGCTGAGGATCTTTTTGAGGCTCAGCAGAATCTGGTCAGCGGTCTGTCTGAACTGTACCAGGAGTCAGTCAGCAAAAAGGGGAAGAAACGTACGCAAGCTCCTTTTTATATATGTCATAATTCTTTCCACCTGCTACTCAAAATTCAGCTACTTTAAAATCGAAAACCATTTTTAAAGGCGATTGTTGTCCTACATTCACCTTTTACGGATCTTTTTTCTTTTTTTTTTTTTTTTACCTCCTTTTTCTTTGGCTCCTGGCCTTGCAGGGGGTGCCCACCGTACGCCGGTGAAGCAGAAGATGAAGACAATGAGTCGCTCACTGCAGATGCTGAACGTGGCGCGGCTAAACGTGAAGGCTCAGAAGAGTCAGAGCGAGGCCGAGCCGCCGGGCGCCGACAGAGCCGGGAAGAGACGGCTAAGTGACAGGAACAAACCGGCAGCAGCGAGCGCGCTCAGTAAGTTAAACTTCTAAATAAAAGTCTGACGATGTGCTTGAATAACACATTTCATATTGACTTTTGCTGCTTTGTTTTCCGTCTCTCAGGTTTTTCTAGTGAGAAAGAGCTGCTGAGGCACTTGAAGGCCGGTTACAACAAGACGGTAGCAGAGAGAGACTCGTCTCTCCTGACCACCGCTCAGCAGCTTCTCAACGCCGTAAAAACATTTCTAACTGCAGAGTCAGACTGGCAGGTAACACAATGTTTTGTTTTTTGTTTTTTTTACCTTATAAAGATTTGTTTTTGTTGCAGTCCAGGGCTAGGCGATAAATCAATTTTATCGAGCTTTTGAAGATGTCATTTTTGGAAAATCTGAATTTATTAAGCTCATTGGATTTTTATATTTCATAGCAATGTCAGGGCGGCCATCTTGTTTTTATTTAGGTTTGGAATTCTGGTCAACTTTATGACTGAGGGTCAGGCTAAGATGTTTTTGTTTTTATTTACAAAAATAAAATCATAATTTTGCCAGAATAAAGTCATTATTTTATGAGAACTGCAACATGAAAAATAGGAATGGAATATTGAGCAACTTGTGAAGTCATAGTTTAATATAATTTAATACTTAATAGAAAAATATGGCCTTTTTGCACATCATCCTCAAATTATCATCAGTCGCAGAACATTGAAATGATTGTATCTACTTCTAAATGGACTGACCTACTCATGTCAGATCCAGATAACTCCTCTGTCAAGGCTGTTTTTCCTCATTAAAACAACTTTTTACTCATCATTTTAAGTCATTTTTCTGGTAAAGTTGCATCAGTTCTTCTAATCTCATAACTATATTCTCGTAATTAAAGAGAAATTCTCGTAGCCTGGCTCTGATTCTCCTCGTTGATTGAAATAAAAGTCACTTTGGAGAACTTTTCCTGTCATGTTATGTTATGTCAATGAATTTTAAGTTCATTCTATAGCCACATCGTCTCATCTGTAGGAAAAGGCGTCTCTGCTTGTGGAACAGCATCTCATGAAGACCGGCAAATCGATCCGCCAGCTGTACCCCAGCGCTGACGAAGCCGAGAGCAAAGTCAGAGAGTGAGTGATGGATTCACTTGATGAACCGATTCCTCCTCGTCTCTCTGTTCTCGTGCTGTATCTGGATCGTTTAACTCTAACTAATCAAACCGATCTAGGTGCCAACTGCAAGTGATGCTGCGGCTGGAGCTGTGCAGACGTTTTGCTTCCAAACAATCCCACTCAGACGCAGACCGGATGGTGGAGGAGGTAAAAGGGTCAACATTCCTGTCGACAGAACGCAGCTGTCTTGTGTTTTTCTCTAGTTTTAATATTTTTTGTCTTTTGTCAGGCGGCGGAAATGCTCAGAATAATCTCGTTAACCAAAGACCCGGTGTGCCTAGCAAGGTTTCTTCAGGACGAAGTCCTCCCAGGGTATGTGTGCACCTCTACAGAGATGGGCATTCTTTATGGTGCCCCAAAAGGGTCAAGAAAATGCAAGAAAAAAAAAAGGGCAACAGAAGTTATGGTAGACTTGTTAGCTTAACTTCTGTTTTAACATAGTTTCCATTGTGGCTTTTGACTGTTTCCTTCATTTTGTTGTCCTTTCTGGGCTACCGTAGTTCTTTGGGTAGTTCATGACTTTTCTCCATTTCATTTTATTTTTTTTTATTTCATTCACTATATAATAAATATGAATAGTTTAAGTAACAACTAAAACAAATCATGAGAAAATGAACAAAAAGAAGTGCAAACTTACTTCTGCCAGCTATTCACATAAAAATAAAATTAGCTGTTTCGCTCAAAAGACATCAACTTACTCGGCACCATATTGCGTCATCATAATTTTCAAAACTTTTTCAAATGCAGAAAGAGATTTAGATTGTTTTATCTGACTGTCAAGTTTATTCCAGACACTGACACTCCTGACACTTTCGCTCACACTTTTTCTATAATCATGAACAGAAATAAATGCTTGAAACACATCACTTGGTTTGTCATAAAACTTTTTTGTTTCATGTATAAATTTGTACATTTGGGTTTGAATTAAAATTTTTGAGTACACAGTTTGAGGTAAACTTCACCAAACCCTGTTATTTAAATTTAGTACATGAACCTCTTTTTGTTTTTGTTTTTTTTCCTTTAGTTTCCAACAGTCCTAAAGGAGAAGAAGCGCCATATTTAAATGCTTCCCAAGAACTAAAAACAAAAGTGTTGTTTCTCCATCCCGACAGCTTCCTGACTGCTGTTCCGAAAGTGCTTGCAGACGTCTACAACAGCCTCGGCACTCAGCTCCCTGACGCCCTGGTGGCCGTTCTGCCTGCTGACTTCTTCAGCGACGACTCTGTTGCCAAGGACAGCATCTCCCCCTCTGCCTCCTCGCCTGCCGTCTCGGCACAGAGCCTCGTCTCTAATGACGGCTTGCACGACCTGCGGAACCGTTCGGCCAACAAGAGGAGGCGGGTTTTGCAAAAAAATGCTCCAAGAAATTGGAGAAATAATGAAAGGAGTGTTGTAAAATTAACAGCGTTGCTGTTGTTTTTATTTTTTTTATTTAAAGAAAAAACATAGTAAACCTTCAGGGTTCAATATATGTTTTATAAGTCTTTAATTTGTTTTCTGTGCAGGAGTGGAATGTTGACTCGACATCGCAGCATGACTGAGTCCACACAGAGTCTTCGTCAAATACAGCTGCCCAAGAAGACCACAAGAGCAGTAAGTTCCTTTTTTTTTATGAATTAATTAATTTTTTTTATATTTCACTTTTCACACAGAGCCATGTGGATTTGGATTTTTTCCCCCTTAGTAATAAACACAGGATGTTTCCCACAGTGTATGATCAGCCTGGTGGGCCACCAGGCTTTACTTGCTCCCCCACCAGGCTGAGCATTGTTTGTTTATTGTTATAGGTTTTTAAAATATATATACATATATATATTCCAGTAACAGTGATGGCAAAAACAGGTTAAAAAATGTGTTTGGTGAAACGGTAACAACTTCAGCAACTAAAGTGACGAGTCACGGATCAAAAAAATGTGGACACTTTAATTAGGATGAAACAATTGATATTATTTTAATAGCATTTTTCTGTGTTTGTCTTTTCTTGAGACTTTTTAGTTGTTGTTTAGGTGTTGTAAATATGATGTCTTCCAACAACACAGGTCATATTTTCAATTTTCCTGTCAACTTTTGAACTCAGACATGGTGGGCAGCTGGACCACCGGGCTTAGCAAGTTTTCTGAAACGGCTTCATTCAATAACTGCATTCTCTGTTTACTTGTGTTGTCTCTAATACCATACCAACTTTATTTATAAAGCACTTTAAAACAACCACAGCTGATACAAAGTGCTGTACATCAAAACACAACATAACAATAAAAAAAATAAAAAAAAACAACTTACAGTTTAAAAACAAAAGCATACAATTTAAAACTAGATCCCGCTGGAGTTGAAAGCCAAATAAAATAGATGGGTTTTAAGACGAGCTTTAATAGTGGACAGTGAAGGGGCCTCTCTGACCTGCAAAGGCAAGTCGTTCCATAACTTAGGACCCATGACAGAGAAAGCCCTGTCCCCTCTGAGCTTCCTTCTGGATCTCAGTACCTCCAAGAGCAGCTGATCGGCAGACCTGAGAAACCGATGAGGTATATAGGGGTGAAGAAGCTCAGAGAGGTAAGCCGGGCCAAGATTATGTAGTGATTTAAAATAAACATAAGAATTTTAAAATGAATCCTAAAATATACAGGCAGCCAGTGAAGTGAGGCCAGGACAGGGGTCACATGTTCCCTCTTTCGAGTTCCTGTCAAAAGTCCTGCAGCAGCATCTGAACCAGCTGCAGACGTGGGAGCAGCGACTGACTGACTCCCAGATAAAGTGCGTTACAGTAATCCAATCTAGTTGAAATATTTAATATTTAAATTGGTTTGATTTTCTGAAAAACAAGTGTGAGAAACATGCAAGTAATAGGAAGTGAGGAACACTTCACACCCATGCAAGTTAAAAACTGGTTGAAAACAAATGAAAGAACGAAGAGGTAATTGACATATTAATTCTCGATGACTAATCCAAGCACTTAATTCAAATGTATTTTTTTTTCACCTTAGTCCAAAATGAAGATCTCCCCTGCAGTGAAGAAGCCTGCAGAAGTACAGCAACCTCAGAAACAACAAACACAAGGTATGTGTAGAAAAATTAAAGTAGCGCTGTCGGGATCAGACTAGAGGACGCAAAAAGGTTGTTTCTCACTTTATAATATGAAGAACATCCCGCGACTCATCGTTTTGTCACAAAAAAACCTGACCACCAACTACTTCCTGTTGTCATTGTCTTTGTGGTTTGCATCAGCGGCAGTATTGGGTTGTTGATCATGTGACTTGTGATGCGAAAAAAGTGTTTGCATTGCAGTTTTGCGAAATAAACCAATTTCGATACGGCCAAAGGAAAAAAAAAAGAGAAAACACAGTTTCTTTGAAATTGATGTTTCCATTATTTTCAAAATGTCAAATTGCCAAGTATGTGGTCAAAGGAAGTGCAGCTACAGGCATGGAGAGCTTAGTCGCTTGGTGCTTAAGCAGACTATTGCGTGCAGTGATACTGCGACAGTGTCAAGTTTGCAATTTGTTGTGAAGCCCTGCCTAAGTAAAGTATCAAAGCTTCTCAACATACATTTATCGGTCCACAGAGGTGACCAAAGTAAGAAGAAACCTCTTCAACCAAGAGATTGTTTCGCCTTCCACGAAAAGGAGACTACCAAGGAGCCAGTCTGTCTCTGCTGTGGACGGACTGAAACGGAAGCGTCCTCTTGAATCTGAAGGTAAACTTGAATTTGGTCAATTGCATGAAATACGTAGTGTTTTCCATTATGTGGCTGTGCTACTTAGTATTCAGATTTCTGAGATTGAACAAAAAAAATCATATATTTTTTATTACTTAATTACTGTATTTTTTTATGCATTTTTTTTCCAGAAAAGCACAAACTTCTCACAAAGAAGGTGTGTGAGACGCCTCTCCACAAGCAGGTGTCCAGTCGCCTCTTACAGCGGCTGAAAGCAGGGAGGTATGTTTCACTCATCCTTTTATTAGCTGAGCGCATCTGCAGCCATTTGTAAATGAGCATTATTTAGTTCAGTTAATTAATTATTTTTCACAGGAAATCTGACCATAAAGGGGAGTGCATAGTGGAAGAGTCACCAGTAAAACCAGCCGAAGGTAATTTCAATTTATATTTATGTACATCACATAATTTATTTATGTGAATTAAGCTCTTCTCTTCAGAAAAAAAATACTTTTTTTTAAATTCAATAATCTGGGACACAATTTGTTATATGAATGAATAAATGCAACTAAATTCAGTGTTACCTTTCTTTTTAAAGTTCATAATTTTAAGTATTTTATTTGGAAGATACGAGCTTAATACAATGTAAACATGATTTTAAACCACAAAATGTAATTTTCTTTTCTTTTTGTGATTTTCTGTCAGACCTGAGAAGGAGCCCCAGGTTAAAGAAATTCGGTAGAAGACACTCAAGCACTTTCTACTCAAGTTCTCAGCCTCGCTCCAGGAACCTGGAGAAAGCTCTTTCTTCATCTCAGCTTCCACTCAGCGACAGCAAAATCTGTAGCGTTAATGTGAGAACAGTCCAGTCTCCCTTGCGCCTTCTGTTCGGCGCGGCTGAGTCTCCCAGTGACCAGTTTGATGAAACCCGAGTCCCCCAGTCTCTGTTGCCCACAGACTCCAGTGTTTTTGAGGTAATTTATCTTAATTCATACCCAAATATCTCACACTTTGAATACTTTGGCTTTTCATTATTGAAGGACTTTTCCAGAATTGAACTGAAGTAACACCCTTAAAGTCTTAAATTCACATATGTAAAGTTAAGGCCTGCACATCTCTCTCTTTTTTTATGTAAGTTGACCTTAAATACATTATTCATTTTGACTATGATAGGACTATTTAATATCGTATTTTTGATGTTTTTGGGTTTTTTTTTTGTTTTGTTTGTTTTTTTCCCTGCTGGACTTTTCTGTTAAGAAAAGTTTGAGGCACACACACATTTTTCTTATGTTCTGTGACTCTAGGTAACTAAAGCTACTGCTAGCTAGCTGCTAATATTCACTTGCTAGCTAGCTAAGTGCAAATTTCTTGTCAGTTGTCTAATTTCTGTAGAGATATAGGTCTTAAATGGTCTTATAGTCTAAAATTTAAGTTGGTGAAACCCATAAAAACAATGACTAAGATCTGAAGCCTTTAATTAAATATCTTTTTGTTTTAAGAAGCACAAATTCTGTTATGTATTAATTTTACTGTACTGTCTTTTGCAAGATGCCTGACTTGTTTCCTGTCAGAAACAAAATTCTTAGTTGAATGAAAGTAATTTTTAGTGCAAATCTGGCAGGGATATGAATCATTTGAAATCATAATTTGTGCTGAACAACTGTCACTTTTCATCCCTTATATGATGTTTTTGCTGTATGTTTAGAGTCCAAACAAAACGCAGTCAAAATCACCCAAGAGACGTGGAAGGAATTTGTCTCCTAAGATGCCCAGAACACCACAGGCCCCACTATCATCTAAAATACAAGTTTGTTCGGTTGCAGAAAGTCCTTTAGCTGATGCTTCTGGACACGGTAGTAATATGAAGACCATTCCTCTGAAATCTCCAGGCAAAGAGTCTCTCTTTGTAAATACGCCAAGTAAACAAGGTCCTGTTGGGAGTCCTTTAAAGGGCATTCTTAGGACTCCAGTCAAAGCTTCTGGATTATGTAAACTTAGCAGCCCGTTATCCAAGACTCCCAAGAAGAGTGTCACATGGTCTCCCTCTCCTCAGAAATGTACAGTGGAGGCAGACCGTGCAACTTTTAAAGTCCCTGAGTCACCAAGTACGGCTCCTCTCAACTCTCTGAGACACATGAAGACTCCCAGCAAACTCCACAGTCCAGAACAAAGCACTAAAGCTAAAAGAGACATTTTTAAGACCCCGGATAAGATCTGCCAAGTAAGCCTGGTACGGCTGTCCGAACAAGACCTTTTGACTCCAGAAAAGATTCTGAGATCTTCGATATGTAACACAACTGAAAATGCGGCGGTTCGTCTGGAAACGACCCCTACGCCGCCCCCGGCATCCTCAACCCAACATAATTCACCTCAGCGCAAAAGCAGAACTAAAGTCAAGATTCCCAGTCCCATTCATCAAATGATCACTCGCTCTGGACGAACCCCGAGGAAAGAGCCAAACACCGAATCCCCGATTGAGGTGGCATACCCTCCGCCTGAGGGGGATAGACTTCCAAACAGTTCGTCAGAGGAGCAGACTGAAACGTCTCAGTCCTCCTCCGAACCCGACTCCAGTCTCCAGACTGAATCGCAGACTTCTCACGGTAACTCCATAACCACAGATGACGACAGTTTGGACATCGTCGACGCTACGGTGGTCAAGACTCAGTTTAATCAGGGTATAAAAATGAGCATTAGCTTCTCAAGGAAGCCTAGTGTGTCTAGTCCTGACTGTCCTGTGAGGACGGCTTCCCCTGTACCACCTCAGAACACCCCGGGGCGCAGCTATGGCTTCCGCCGAACCCCCGACCGTCTGCAGAGGGAGGCCGCCGCTCGTTTGGGGTACGGAAACGACTCCCCTCGATTCTCAACCCCCAGGGGCTTGACAAGATCCAAGAAATCCCCAGTCTCTCCAAACCCTCTGAGTTACCAAGTGGAACTGGAAATGCAGACGTCAGGACTTCCGAAACTCAAAATTAAACGGACGGATTCCATGAACGCGGATGACATCTCTTCTGAGGGTGCTTCTCAACCGGGCACAGAGAGCCCTTTGGTCGGCACTAAGCCTCTCATGGAAAACCCCCTGACCTTAATGACCAAACACAAAGACGCTGCTTGTTGCTCGCCGTCTCTCTGCGCTCACGTCACTCCAGCAAAGTGTACTCCTGGAAAAGGCAGCAGTGTCCAGACGTACATCTGCCAGTCCTACACGCCTACGCGCCACTCTCCGGTGGCAGTAGCGGACATCATCCCTCTCACCCCTTCGCCGCAGAGCGTGGGCAAAGTAACCCCGGACAACCTGAACAGCTGGCCGCGCAGGAAGAGGCCTCAACTCGAGACATGTGGAGGCAAAGATCGGGTCCCGAAAGGGGAGCCGCGGCTGGAGGAGCTGCTGGAGGAGGCTGAGCTCGGAGTCAGTCCCCTGCAGGACTTTGAAGACACCGAAGAACCCTTGAGCAGCACAGCAGAAAACGAGTCGCACTCAGTGGCAGAAAAGGTGCCGCCTCTTTCTCCCAGGGAGGATTTGTACTGGATGACCAAGCTGGCTGAAGGGACAAACAGTCCTGACTCAGCTGAAATCATCTGGGCGTGTGAAACTGGAAACATTAAGTCAAGTAAGCAATATCTTTAAACAGTTTGTAGAATGAATGTATGTGTATGTATTTAAAATTTAAATATTTTTGTTTATACATTAAAACTAGACCTTTAGATTTTAGGTCTGGCAATACTTCAGAATAGTATAGAGTAAGGTTGGGTGAAATGGACTTAGAATTTCATTGTGATAACGAAAAGAAACAAAATTATTTTATATATCAAGTCATGAGAACTTTTTTTTCTTCTATATTCAATTTTTTTGATATGCACCAACATCTACCAGTTCATCTGTTTGCCCATCATCTCTCATTTATCATACCTGCTATCTGTTCGTCCATCCGTTCATCGGTTTCTTCACCATTCATCCTTCTTTCCTGTGAATGGCTTTTATAGGTTCTATGTACTAATACTGGTCAGTGCTGAAATAAATAAATTTGTATTGAAGTTATATTTATACTTAAAAAAAACTCTAAAAGAAAAATGAAAATTAAATTCTGGTAGAGTTTGGAGTTTTCTAATAAAACATGAGTTTTTCTTTGCCTCAGACTGAGGTCATCCTGAGGCAAAGAAAGCCAGCCGGATCTTCCAAGATCCGGCTGTCTGCACTGGCTCCTGTCTGCAGGGGCCTGGTTGTATGACAAAGCGTGATTGTGTGCAAAATCAGCTCCAGCGTGGTTGTTATGGTTCACTATCGCAGTAAGGCTGTTTCAAGGTCGTTGGTTGAGCGAGTAGTAGCGCAGCGTTAGCATTGCCATCAGTATGACACGGGACCTTCCCTCTGCATTGGTCATTGAGAGTATAAAGCAGGTGCAGATGGTCGTAGAGCTGTGGATGTGAAAGTGGTCCGAGAGGCTCGTACTAGAGAAAGGTGTTGCTTTCAGGATCATCATGGAAAGACGTTCCTGACTTGTAGGACTTTTTGGGGGGGAATCCAAGAAAGATATATTGAAAAAATATTGATATTTTCAATTTATCTTTGAAAATATCAAAGATATATGTTTTTGGTGAGTAGGAAGTGGCATAGCAGCATCACGAGTCCATTAAATCTGAGGTATGGAACTTTTATAAGAAGAAAATTTGAAGTTTCTCACAAATTTGTTAAAACTGTCACGATGTCATGAGAGATTGTCTGTGGGGAAAAAAAAGCTAGCGTTTCCACCTCCTCCCTGAGCTACTATTGTCGTCTGATGAAGAGAACAATAGTAGCTCAAAAACAACCAATCAGAGCCAGAAGGAGGGCCTTAGAATGGAGGGAGGGGGTCAAATTTATTTATTTTTCACAGATTAGCTGTCTCACAATATACTGTCACGACATAGTGACAGTTTAATAAATATGTAAGGGCATTTATATACACTGCTCAAAAAAATAAAGGGAACACTCAACACATCCTAGATCTGAATGAATGAAATATTCTCATTGAATACTTTGTTCTGTACAAAGTTGAATGTGCTGACAACAAAATCACACAAAAATCATCAATGGAAATCAAATTTATTAACCAATGGAGGCCTGGATTTGGAGCCACACACAAAATTAAAGTGAAATGTTCCCTTTATTTTTTTGAGCAAAATATATATATATATAAAAGTTATGTACACCAGCTTTGACGCTGCAGGAAGTTTTGCAAATTCTCTGCAGCCCAGTCAGGTTCTGATATGTTCTTGTTTGTGAGGAGAGATTAATGGCCTTCATCACTTTAGGTTGGGTTTAGCAACTGCCAAAGGGACCACTGAATGAAACGAGCTAACTCAGACACATTTACATTATACGATGTTCATTAATATGCTCTGTCATTTTGAAATCCAGTGTAAACAGAATTGAATCAATGTGATGTTTACACATTTCCAGTGAGTTACCTCTCTGACAAAACTGAACATTCTCTTTTAATGTACATCCTTAATTAAGAGTAAATTAAAAGAATATCTTGTCAGAGCAGTGGTAAATATTAGCAATTTGACGTAACAAGGTCAGATATTACCTTGGATTTTAAGCTTTTAATATGAACATGATGACAGACATTGTGACTGTACACAGAGAAAAGCTTTGTCGTCGTTTTTGACCCGATGTTACAGCGAGGTCGAATTTCATTCATTCACCCGCTTGTGTTTGCTCCTCTCCTGGCAGCGGGGACTCCTCCCGGTCGGAAGGGCAGAAAACCAGTGACGCCCAGCGGCATCTTGGCCCTCACTCAGTCTCCACTGCTGTTTAAGGGCAAAACGGGCTCCACCCATAAGAAAACACCAGATTTTAAAGGTAATACTTAAACGTGCAGCGTGTCTATGCGAGCATGTTATTGCAGGTCAACTAATTTTTTTTCCCCCGATTTTCCAGACGAAGCCTCGTCAGGGAAAACAGATCGTGAGCCGGAGCGCTCTCCTTTCAGCCTCTCCCAGCCAACGAGGCGCTCTAACACGGGGAAGACCTACAGCAGGAAGAGACTGCTCCACTGAGATAAATAACATAAAAAGTTTTAGCAATCAGACCGTCTGTTCTTTGTTTTGTGCTGTGAAGCCGTGAGCCTTTTCGTGGCATGTGTGAAAAGGTCGGCTGAACTCCACCAGAAAGCTGCTTTTGTTCAATCAGAACCACTCCAGAGTTCAAAGGATGTTTAAAATTTCTCGCCGATATCGATGGGATCATATTTTCTTTCTCTCTGTTTTACAATCAAGTCAGATCCTGTTCTTATCCGATTAGTATTATTTATTAGTTTTTCCTTTTTTTTTTTTAGCTATTTTCAGAAAAAAATGTATTCTCTGAAATTTTGTAAATATGTTAAATATTGACAAATTCTTTTATGAATAAACAGTTTTTCTTAACCTTTTGAAAGAGATTGAAAAGCAGGAAGTCCGAACCCCCGAGCAGCGACTTGCTGAAAACTGAATTGGGTTTTGTTGCGCCGTAAATGTTACTTTTTAAGAAGTTTATCAGCGCCGCGCGTACATCAGTGCCCATCTGGCTTCAAAGGTCAGCGCAGTGAAATCAAACACACCTTTTTTTTTTTCTTTTTTTTTCTGTTTATATGCCACAGTGCAGCCCAGCTACATCTGAAACTCTTTTCCTTTCACTGCCTGTGATTTGACTAAACCATTCGGTCCTGTAGCTTTTAAAGCGTTGATCGTCGGGTTAAATTGTAGGACTCGGTACATAACAGAAATGTCTGTCATAAATTCAACTAAATTGATACATTTTAAAGTTTTAAAATTTGTTAGAAATGTTGTAGGTTTTAAATTTTGAATGCTAAGATCTTTATAATTTTCTGATTTTTTTTTTTTTTTTTTTTTTTTTTTTTAGTGGGAACAACTTTATTTTTTTAAATGTTGGTCATTTGTAAATCAAGTCAACCTCTTTTTTTCAGGATGTTCCTTCATCATAATGTTATGGAAAGCAGTTTTGTTTTACTCATTTTAGCACATTTGATTAATTTCATTTTGTTTTTGGTTCAGTTCAGAGAATCGCCAAGATGGTTGCTCTGTTTTAATGAGTTTGTAAGCTTGCTGTGAATATTTTATTTATTTATTTTTTTAGTCGCTTAGAATTTATCGACAAAGTATGTGAACTTTGAGCAGATTTATCCTTCCATAAGGAGCTCATGTACAGGATTATAACATACTTCTTGTTATAATTCCTAATGGTGAATGCAAAACTAACTCCTACTTTCTGTGCAGGTTTAAAATGTATATTAGAAAATTGGCAAAAAATAGTTAATTCTTCTAGCCTTTGGGAAATGTTGATATAAATTCAGATTAAACTGCTGATCAGTTAAGAAAAAAGAGTTGTATAAAAAATAAATTGTGGTCCGAAAGATCACCGCACTGTGAAATGTTGTTGGCTAATGTTGCTGCGTTTACTAGAAAGCCATTTTCAAATCGGACGATGAAGGTGAGCGCCACTAATTTCCCCTTTAAGTCCAATCAGGCGTGACGCAATGAGGAAGTTGCGGCAGTTTTATTGTATGAATGACTGGAATAACCTTGTGAAGAAAATCTTTTCAAACGATTATTTGAGCTAAATTGAGTGAGACGGAAAATGAGCGGACTGTATTCGTACTTCAGACTGTGGTTTAGCCGAGTGAGAAGTGAAATCGCCTGTTCTGCAGCTCCGTTCATTATGGTTTAATATTCTTACCATGCGCCACTTTACCTTCATCAAGTTAGCCGACAAAAAGCACAACAAACTTCCTGTTGAGACAACACTTGGAGTACGACGTTTTCATACTTTGTCCCATAAATGTTTGATACTTGGTCTATATTTGAAAATATATAGATATAGCATATATATATATATATATAGATAGGAGATATTGCCGAGCACTTCTGTTTTGTTCTATCCTCAAGTAGAAAATTAAAGGGCAATTTCACTTTTTTCCATAAAAAATATGGCCGAATATAATCAATCGGCATAAAAATAGTTTTTGCAATGAAATGGTATTGAATTTTTTTTAATTACGTTGTAATATATATTTTTATAAATTGCATACAGGCAAGTCTGTTTTGCAGAATGGTGTTTTATCAAGAGTGCAGTAAAGAAAATCAAAGGCATGCTACATTTCTATACAGTATATCGAAATTTTAATCTACAATTTTTTGTAACAATATGGCACAGAAAGTCCACAAAAAAGAAAAAAAACTTTATAACTATATAAAATTGCTACCTAGTAAAATAACCAGACACATTTTTTTTCTACTGTTAGGTTATAAAGCAAAGAAAATAGAAACTAAAGGAATAATTTTTCTTTTGCATAAATGTCATTTGAGTCATTTCCAAACTTTTGAGAAGTTAAAAGAAAAACTTAAAATGTAGACCCCTGATTAATATCTAATATGCATGTTAATTCATCAAAAGAAATACAACAAAAAATATACAGTTAATGAAATGAGAAAAATGCAAATGTTTGACTAAAACATAAACGTAAGTATTGTCATTCAGTTTCCAGTCATCTGGCTACTTTTATTTTGAAGCTGGACCTATACTTCCGGTCCAGTCCTCGATCTCTCCGTCCACCTTGACGACCCACCTCCTGTTAACCGTTCTTATAATTCCATCAGAGGCGCTTCATCACCTTCACTCCATCAACTTGTCTTTTCTTCCCCTCCGTCCAGCCCTGTCAATAACACCATTTTTTAAACATTTAAATTTCAAGGGGAGAAAAATGGCCAGCAGCTTCACGAGAATCCTCTCCTCCAAGAGAAACGTCGGAATCCTCTCGTTGGTCGGAGGCTCCGTAGCGGCTGGGTTTCTGCTCCATCGGGAACATGTCACCGCCGGAGAGCCTCTGCGCAGGAGATACCCCGCCAGGTAACTGCAGTTCAGGCCTCTTTGGTCGTTATTTGATTAAAAAAAAACATTTTATGGACAATTATTTTCTCCTATAAAATTATTTTTTAACAAATTGGACGTCGTTTTATTGACGCTAAATTGTACGTTTTTTCCCCCCTCTAAATGTAACGGTTCGTTTTAAACGTTAGAGTTTTAAGCTAATGAGGATGGAGGAGTGTAACATGGGGGGGGCGGAATAAAAACCTTTTCTGCTGGTCAGGAGTCCTCAAATATAGTGCTACCTGAATTATAAGGTCATAATTATAGGGAGTATTATGGCAAAATACTTCCTTCTAATATCATTCAGGCACAATGGGATTAACAAAATTAGCTATTCGAGAGGGATTAGATTGGTGCTAAACGTTGAAGGCCAAAAGAGAGCAGAAACTAGACCTTTGCTAATGCCGGAAAATTAATAAATGTTTAATTTAGGACATGCAAGAGCCATATGGAGACTATTGTGCCATATCTAGGTCAGAGAAAACCCGAATCATAAAGCACTGCCGAGCCATTTTACAATACATCATAAATCCAGCTTCATATACTCAGTCGTATGAGATCTGAACGGGCAACAATAAATAATCTGGTTCTTCTGCATGCTCTCGATATTCAGGTGTGCAACACCTGAATATGGAATAAAACATGTATGCGTTTGTTGGATGAATAAATTGCACCTTGTGTGAAAAAAAGGTCATGTTGGACACATTCTTGCTCATTATAATCACAGATTGCACAGCAAAGATCTGTTTGTCGCTGGAGGTTTAAAAAGCACTTCTTCCAAATGATGAATAGACTAGATGTTTACTTACTAAAACTTGTGTATTAGAAACATGTAATGACCTGCATTATTAAATGGATGCTATTTGGTGTCAGTCCACCAAAAGTTGTGTACGTGACTCATGGCACACCTGCCTGAACTATAAAACACGTCTGGAGATCAGTAAAACATTATCTGCTTCTCGGATAAAAGTCCTTTCATTGATCACAGGCGAGGCAACAGATAAAGGTTTTGCACACAATTGTTCCTTATTCTACTCATATGAATGAGTGAATGAATGAATGACTGCCATCTATCCACAGTGAAACAGTAGAATGAAATTAAATAGTGCCTCTCCTGTAAGTTGTAATCAGTATAAATTAAAAGCTAAGTTACGCACACCACTCTGTACAAACAAGTGTAAAAATGCAGCTATTTTTCTGTTTTGCTTCATCAACCTGCAAAACTATTTATTATTTATCCTTCAGCAAGTATTTTCTTTAGAATCAGGAGTACTGGGGCGAAAGGTGCGTTTTGACAAAATATCTTATTGAAAATAGTTTTTTTTTTATTTCAGTAATTGAATTAGAAAAAATGAAAGTGATGGAGTTCAAGTGCTTATTCCTATTTATGTGGATGACATTGACTTACTGCTAAAGGAAAACACAAGCAGAAAAAAATTAGAATATTACATGAGACCAGTGAAGTAAAGCAGGTTTTTTTTTTTAAATACTAATATGTTGAGTCATTGCCTAGACTAGACAATCATGTCATATTCCTGCTTTTAAGCAAATGCAAGTTTATTTGTACAAGAAATATTAGCAACAAGGGAAGTTAAAGCACCTTACGTACATAACATAATAAACACTCATCAAAAGTCGCAATCCAGACTAAAACAAATTATCTTCTGTTTGTTAAAGACGACTCTTTTGTAGACGAGGATTTTTCTTTTGCTTTGATTTAAAGGAACTCAGTGTTTCAGCATTGTACAGCTTTCTGGAAGCTTATGCAGCATAAAACCTGAATGCTGTTTCTCCATGTTTGGTTCTGGTTCTGGTGAACATTAGTATGTCTCTATGTGTTTTTGGTGCTAAGCCGTTCAGTGATTTATAAACTAACAGAAGCATTTTAAAGTCTGTTCTCTGAGCTACAGGGAGCCAGTGGAAGGACTTTAGAACTGGGGTGATGTGCTCTGTCTTCCTGGTCTTAATGAGATCAGCTGTCTGATTGACTTTTCGGCAGAGCTGTGAAGACACTGTTGTAGTAATCAGTATGACTAAACGCCTGGATGAGTTTCTCGAGATCTTGTTGCGACGGTAGTCCTTTCATCCCAGAAATGTTCTTTAAGTGATAGAAGGCCAACTTTGTTACTGTCTTTACGTGTTTCTGAAAGTTCAGTTCTGAATCCA